GGGAGACCAGGAGGAAGCACCTGGCTCCAGGCTTCAGATCGGTGCAGCATGCTAGCCATAGCGGCCACTGGGGGGTGAACCAAAAGAAGGAAGACCTTTCTCTCTCTCTCTCTCTCTCTCTCTCTCTCTCTCACTGTCTAACTCTGCCTGTCAAAAAAATTATTTTGGAAAGGCAGGGTGACTGAGAGGGAGAGACAAAGAGAGAAAGAGATCTCCATCTGCTGGTTCACCCCCAAATGCCCTCAGTAGCCAAGGCTGAAGCCAAGAGCCAGAAACTCCTGGTCTCCCAAGTGGGTGGCTGGAACCCAAGTGCTTGGGCCATCATCTGCTGACTCCCCAGGTGTATTATCAAGAAGCTGAACTGAAAGCACAGAGTAGCTGGACTTCGAACCAGGCATTCTCATATGGGATGCAGGCATCCCAGGTGGAAGCTTAACCCATTGCACCACATGTCTACTCCTGGGGCTATAAGTTTGGGAAAAAAACTACAAATAAATTTCAGATTTTGTTTGTAATTAATTTCCTTTGATTCCTTAATTTTTTTTTTTTTTTGAGTTCCAGACTTTGCTTTAAACCAAGGAAGCCCTGGTTTAACTCTGTCAGAGAGATATTAAACTCCAATTGAATGAACACCTCATGGGGCCCCAGATGGTTGTCAGCTTCCAGAACGAGGGGAGGGGGAGCAGAAACTGCTGGCAGGAACTCAAGCCCTTCAGAGGAGGCTGCAGTAGGGTCTGCGGTGCAGCGGCTGCCAGACTGCCTCACTCCCCTTACTTCACTTCCTCTAAAGGGGGCCGTGGCCAGTAAATCATCCCAATCACGCCCTCCTGACTCCGTCACTAGAAGCTAGCTGCTCCAAAGTTCAAGAAGTCTCCACTGTGGCTAACCTCACTCTCAGCGTTAACTGCCGTTTCCTGCCTGGACCTTGAAGGGGAGAGGGAAAATTCCACGTCCTGTGGCGCAGCCGGCCTCCAAGATGGCCTCCATGGTGATTTCCAGTCATCGCTACCTCTTGGTTTGCACCATGTGTGGCTCTCCTTCCACACGGTACCCGGGTTTGTTTTGCGATGAACAGTGTATGGCAGAAGTGTATGGCACACCTGCCAAGTTGTGAGATCACTCAGGCAGCACAGAACTACCACCACAAGATGGGGAACTGAAGGCCCCGGCCACAGCCTCTGGGAAATGGAGGCTTGGCAATGCTGTGAGTGAGCCTGGAGGTGCGTCCTCCAACGGCTGAGCCTTCAGATGAGACCACAGCCCTGGCACACATCTTGAAGCAAATCTCCTGGCAGACCTTGAGCCTGGAATCACTCAGCTCAGCTACTCCAAGATCTTTGATACTCAGAAACATGGTGAGGTAATACATGTTCATTTGAAGTTGCTACGTTTTGGGGGTAATTTGTTATACACCAATAGATGACTAATGCATCCTATGTTTGGACTTTCATTTTGGGGTAGGGATAAATATAGTTAGGAAGACATATGCTACATGGAATGATGATGGCCTATCCTATCCCAGGGTCTGTTTTAGGCCCTAGATTCCCAAATTCATTTGGGGTGGTGGTTAAACACACAGATTGTAGGCCCATTTCCTTGCATTGTGGGGTGAGGAACCAGGGGTCAATATGTTCAGCTAACAGTCCAGATAGTTCTTACTGTCAGGCAAGTTTGAGAAACATTGCAGAATCGGATGCAAAACAGAATGAGACACAGCCCTTCCTCAGGGAACAGTGCAGGAGAGAAAGCAAATTGGTGCACGGAGCTGCATTTAAAGAGAGACATCAAGTGTAAAGGAAGATATGAAAGTCATTGGGGGAATTAAAAAATGCTTCCTGGAAGAAATGACAAAAGAGCAAAGTCTGGAAGATGGGTTAGGATCTCATAGAGCAAGGCAGGACAGAACCAGAGACAGAGAGAGAAATAGCTGGCATTTCTCAGGTGCCTGCTGAGTGCCAGGCGTTGTGCTGAGTACCTTCCCCGCCTTACTTTATTTAAGCATCGCAACAACCTTATCGAGTAGAGCCTTTGCCTTCTCTGGTTTCCATATGAGGAAAGATAGGCTTTGGTTAGCACACATAGGTCACATAGCTCACATGGGTTGAGCTGCGGAGAGAGGATGCAGCTGACTCCATAACCCATGCTCTTTAGCACCCTTCCATTCCACAACACAGGTGTGAAAGTGCTGTGACATTTCTGCAATTGGCAGGAGTTCTGTGCAAATGACAGGAGACATCCCGGGGAGGAAATGGACTGGGGAAGATACCATTTAAAGTGTTGGAACCTGGTAGTGACTTCCTAGTCCAGGCTCAGCTCACTCATTTTGTAAATGAGGAAAGGAGACCCAGAGAGGTTATGTGACTTGTCTAAAGTCAGCCAGCTTAACAGTCAAGCATAACAAAGGCCAAGATCCTGGCAGCATGCTTTGCATTATGGACAGTGGCAGCCAATGTCAACCTGGATAGATGCCTAGCTAAGAAGCCTTGCTAAGAAGATATATGAAGATAGTTCAAAAAGTTCATGGATAGGCGGCACTTGGTGCCGTGGTTAAGACACTGTTTGGAACACCCATTCTATAGTGGGGTTCAAGTCCCGGCTCTGCTTCTGATCTCAGCAGCCTGTTATGTGCATTCTGCAAGGCAGCAGATCATGATCCAAATACTCAGGTCCTGTCACTCATGCGGGAAACCCGGATTGAGTTCTGGCCCAGCCCTGCTGCTGGTGATGGGCATTTGGGGAGTGAAGCAATGGATGGAAGATCTCTGTCTGCCTCTCTCTCTGTTCCTCTGCCTTTCAAATAATACAATTAATTTTCTTTAACAAATCGTGGGAAATAGAATTAAAAGGTAAGTATTTTGGTGTAAAAATTTTTGAAATCCATGCACATTTTCCAGTACATGCATTATCCATGAACTTTTTGAAAGTCCTTCAAAAATGCAAAATACACATAATATAACACTCGCTATTTAAGTGCACGATACAGTGGCATTAAGTGTTCACAATGTTGTGCAGCCATCACCAACATCTATTTCCTGTCCTCCCCCCCTTTTTTTTATTTGACAGAGTTAGACAGTGAGAGAGAGAGAGAGACAGAGAGAAAGATCTTCCTTTCATTGGTTCACTCTCCAAATGGCCGCTACGGCAGGAGCTACACCAATCCGAAGCCAGGAGCCGGGTGCTTCCTCCTGGTCTCCCATGCAGGTGCAGGGCCCAAGCACTTGGGCCATCCTCCACTGCCTTCCCAGGCCACAGCAGAGAGCTGGACTGGAAGAGGAGCAACTGGGACTAGAACCTGGCAGGCATATGGGATGCCGGCGCCACAGGCGGAGGATTAACCAAGTGAGCCATGGCGCCGGCCCTACCTGGCCCTTTTTAATCATCCCAAATAGAAACTCTGAACCTATTAAACAATAGCTTCCCATGCCCCACCTCTCAGCCCTGATAATCACCAATCTGCTTCCTGACCTTCTGAATCTACCCAATCTAGGAACCTCACGTATGTGGAATCACACCAGATTTGTCTCTGTGTGACTGACTTATTGCGCTCAGTGTGATGTTTTCAAGATGCACCCATGTCTGCTGCTTTCCCAGGCACATTAACAGGGAGCTGGATCAGACCTGCAGCAGCTGGGACTCAAACCTGCATCCATATGGGATATCAGCACTGCAGGCAGCGAGGTAAGCCACAGCGCCAGCCCCTATTTTTCCACTTTTTAATTGTGATAAAATACACACAACACAGTACATTTTACCCATTTTTAAGTGTACAACTCGGTGATATAAAGTACCTGCACGTGTAATCATCACCAGCGTCCATCTCCAGAATTCTTTGGATTTTGCAAATCTGAAACTCTTCTCTTTGAACAGCAATTCAATTCCTCCCTTCTGTCAGGCGCTGGCAAAGACAACTCCACTTTCCACCTCCATGAATTTGACTACTTCTGCTAACTTTTTTTTTTTAATATTTATTTATTTATTTGAAAGTCAGAGTTACACAGAGAGAAGGAGAGGCAGAAAAAGAGAGAGAGGTCTTCCATCCGCTGGTTCATTCCCCAACTGGCTGCAACGGCTGGAGCTGGGCCAGTCCAAAGCCAGGAGCCAGGAGCTTCTTCTAGGTCTCCCACGTGGGTGCAGGGGTCCAAGCACTTGGGCCATCTTCTACTGCTCTCCCAGGTCATAGCAGAGAGCTGGATTGGAAGAGGAGCAGCCGGGACTAGAACCAGCACCCATATGGGATCTGGCACTGCAGGCGGTGGCTTTACCTGCTACGCCACAGCACCGGCCCCTCCATGAACTTTCTGAAGAGTCCTCATTTCCACCACACTTGATTTATCCATTCATCGGTCAATGGAGACTGGAGTGGCTTCCAGGTTTTAATTGTTGTGAATAATGCTGCCATGAGCATAGATGTGCAAATCTCCCAGATCCTGCTTTCAGTTCTTTGGGGCTAAATCCAGAAGTGAGCATCCTGGATCATATGGTACTTCTATTGTCTAGATTTTTTGAGGAGACATGCTATTTATAAGGTGGCACCATTTTAGGTTCCCACTAACAGCAATGGGGATTCCAGTTTCTCCACACCCTCACCAACACTTGTTATTTCATCCCCTTTGAAGGCTGAAAACACATTGTGTGCCTCAGAAGCATTTTATTTATCCGTTCATTGGCTGATGCACATGTGAGTTGCCGGCGCATCACGCCTGTGAACGGTCTGTTGGGGTGCAGGTGTCCAAATCCCTGCTTTCAGTTCTTCGGGTTGTACACCTGTGACGACGTAGTAGTCGTGCTGCTTAACTTCCTGAGGAGTCTGCAGGCTACCGCACGAAGGAGATCTGTGCTCTGTAAAGCAGCTCTGGTCATCCCAGTCTGCTGAACCCAGGCAGGGGTCCTTCCTCTTTCCAACGTGCGCGCCCTGCCCACTTCACTGCTCCCCGGATAGCTCTTCTCCCAGCGCCTCTCACCAGGCAGGACCGGCAGCCAAACATGAAGATGTCCCGAGGTCCCGCTGAGATCACCCCAGGGGTCAAGGTTTGGGCCGGTCCCCGCGGGGACCGTGAGGGCGGGGCTGTGGGCAGCAGAGGACGCCCCTCTGGGTCCTTTGATGGCTGACAGCCGAGCTGGGCGTGTCCGCCCACTCAGGCGGCGCTGGGCTGCCAGGTGCCCTGCGGGAGGCGTCCAATGCCCTGGGTGGGCGAAGCAGCATCGCTTGACACCGCCAGCGCAGGGTGGCCGCAGGGCCCCGCTTATAGCCCCGAGGCGCCGTTCGGGAGCCTGAGATCGCAGCGAGCTGCCCGCGTGGCCAGCTCCCTTCGGCGAGGACACGCCTGGAGCTGCCGGTTCTGCGACCGGGACACTCCGGCCTGGGGGCGTCTCCGGTCCCCCAGCCTCGCGTGTGCGCCTGGGCGAGTCCCACCTCCCGAATCCCTGCTTCGAGCCCCGGACCCTGGCGCCACCGGGAGCCTCGTAGATCGGCCCGAGCCAGCCTCCCGTGAGCTCCGGGCGCCGCGCGTCCACTGCGGGGGCGGAGACAGTGAGTTGGGGGCGGCCCAGAGCTGGGGGTGGCCGGGCTGCTGATCCGCGGCGAGAACGCCCCAGCAGAGCAGCAAGAGAGCGGAGCTTGAGCGCTGGGTGCAGGACGCTCAGGTATGGCGCGCGCCCTCGGGGTTGCACCAGGGACCCCGTGGGGGGCTTTAGGATGGGGGTGGGGGTTCAAGGAACTCGACCCCTGTGCACTTCTTCAGGGGATCCAGCTGCTGCTCGGGCTCGTAGGTGTAGCCGCTCTGGTTCCCAGGAGAAAGTTGGGAGCAGGAGCGGGCTTATCAGCAGTGGCTGCGGGGAAGGGCTTCCAGCCGGTCCACCAGACACCAGAAGGGAACCAGGTTCCTCCCTGGGAAGAGAGAACGAAGGCGAAAAGACCACTGCACAATTTCTTCCCAAACCTTAACTTCCTAATGCCCCACCCTCACCCCCACCACGAAGTTTCTGTCACCCCGGAGCCTGGGTTGCGTGGTAGTAAGGGAACCCTGCAGAGACAACGCACCTCTGAGCCCCGGGGCCAGTGGGGAGCCAGGCTGGCCTCACCCCGTTTGCAGCCCCCACCTGCCTGGGCTCCAAGCCTGGCCCCCTCTGGCTTTTCAGTTCTGGATTGCGCTTCTCACGCCTGGCAGATGCAGAGGGCAGAGGCCAAGCTGAACGGCCTGAGCTCAGAGGAAGGGACGGAATCGGGGTGAGGAATTGGGAGGGGAGGGCAGCAGAGGGCTGAGGGACTTGAACCCTTGGCCCCTTTCAAAGATGGACCCAGATGTTTTGGGTTTGGGGAATGTGGGTAACAGGCTTTCCTGGGGAGTCCTGGGGGGGGGTCTTCCCAGTGTCTCCCTCTCCCGGGAACCGCAGGTTTGTGGTTCTGTAGCCTTGGGCTCTCTTCACTGCCTCAGCTCCCTGGGGACTCTCACTTTCTCTCTGTCCCTAGCAGTGCAGCTGAACCCCCACCCCCAGGCCTCAGCCCCCAACCCCAGCAGATGGTGTGGTGGGCTCTGTGTCAGGATTTCCCTCCCTCTCCTTCCTTGCAGCTGAGTGAGGAGCACTCAGTCAACGGTGATTCCTTGCCTTGCAGCGTGAGGGTGGAGCACGCTCCATCTCCAGGGAGTCCTGGGTTTTACAGACAGTATTGATCGCCTGCTGGGCAGATGTTGAAGCCCTGAGTGTTTAAGCCTTTTGCTTTGGGAGCCATACCAGCCAAGGAAGCATGATGCTCTAGGATCCCTCCTGGTGACCCACTGAGTTAGTGACGGCTGTGCCTGTGCAGCCACTGCCGGCAGACAGATCTCGGTGACGGCTGTACCCTCCTGCTAGGCTGTGGGATCAGTTCAGCCTGGCGGGGAGAGGGGAAGGTGGCTGCTACCTGGCTCTGTGACTGTAGGGCTGTGTGTTGCCAGAAGAGAGCAGGTAGGATTGCTCAAGCCCTGGAAAGCTGTTGCTAACCACAGAGTGGGGCTATGCCGCAGGACACAGTGCAGGCTGTCAGGACAGTGCGTAGAGTTCTGAGAGGTCTTGTGCGTAGTTTTGAGAGTCTCTTGTGTTCCCTTCAGCCCTCTTCTGCTCCTCCTTCCTAGCTCCTACCCTTGAGAAAAGCTGTGACATTTCTGATTCTTCAGTGGAACTCAAAGAAACAGACTCTGGCCTGATGGCCTGTATAACAATCCAGCCTTGCCTAACAGAGTGAGGAGATGGAGGTCATTCATTTGTTCTCTCTACGGGCTCTTTTGTTTCTACTCCATCACTGAACGCCACTCAGAGCTTGTGGCGAATGGGTCTGCCTAGGTTACAGGGTGGTTTCCAGTTGGGCCGGGTTCACTCCACCATGTAGCCAACTGTTTGTGTCTTTCAAAGGCTTAGAATGGAGCTCGGCTGCTGTACCCTGGGGATGCCGGCAGGGGTGCTGTGATTCATCAAGGGAGAGCTGGGTGTCAGGAGAGAGGGGAGCCATCAGCCTTGCAGACAGCACCCCAAAGGATTCCCTGCAGTGCTGCTCACAACATTTCCTGGTCAGAAGGAGAGCACCATGCGGGTCATGGATGAAAATGCCACCAACGCATCCACCACCCTCCAGTCTACCTTTGACCCGCAGGGAGCCCACACTGCTTCCTTCCCTTTCAACTTCAGCTATGGCGACTATGATATGCCCCTGGGGGAAGATGAGGATGTGACCAATTCCCGAACTTTCTTTGCTGCCAAGATAGTCATCGGCATGGCCCTGGTGGGTATCATGCTGGTCTGTGGCATTGGCAACTTCATCTTCATCGTTGCCCTCGCTCGCTACAAGAAGCTGCGTAACCTCACCAACCTGCTTATTGCCAACCTGGCCATCTCTGACTTCCTGGTGGCCATCATCTGCTGCCCCTTTGAAATGGACTACTATGTAGTGCGCCAGCTCTCCTGGGAGCACGGCCACATCCTGTGTGCCTCTGTCAACTACCTGCGCACTGTCTCTCTCTACGTCTCCACCAATGCCCTCCTGGCCATTGCCATTGACAGGTGAGCCAGGGGCAGTAGGGGTGCAAAGGTTGGGGAGGGGGGGAGAAGGGGCTTTGGAATAGTCTCTTCCTTTCCTGCGGTTATAGATCGATAGGAGTGATCTAAATGTATTCCCCATAGATGGGGATGCATGGGGGACTGAAAAGTTTTCCCATTGATGGAGTAGGGAGAAGGGATCTAGTTTTCCAATTGTGGGCAAGGCAGGAGGCAGCAGAGCCCCCTTGAGTTGAGCAGGAGCAAGGCTTTTGGTCCTCCTGACATGGCCCTGCTCCTGGGGGTTGTACCTGTGCCTGGTCTAGAGCAGACAGGTAAGAGGAGGTGCTGAGGGATAAAGTTCAAGTTCCAGGCAGTTCCCTCTCCGGGTAACTTCAAATCCGGTGGGGGGCGGATTCCTATCTCAAGACTTCTTTGTTTTCTGCTTTTTAAGTAAGATTGAGTGATTTGCTTTGGAAAGAGCAGAAAACAAGGAGCATACCGCTAGTTACTTTGTTGTTGTTCCATTGGCCACTTGGCATCTTTTCACCCATTTTCACGCACCATCTGCAGAAGACCTGTTTCCAAGGATGGCACATAGAAGCAACAGCAGCAGTCTCTTCAAACCTCTTCTATTTAGTCTTTTCATTCAGGGTAAACCTGCACTAATGGGCTGGGGTGGTCACCTTTGTTTCCTGGGGAACAGCCTTGCAAGCTCCAGTGCCTGCAGTTGGATGCTCATTACAAAGTTTCTCCTTACAGGTCCGGGCAGTGGCCGTGCGGGTCCGGTCAGACTTCTGTGTGCTTACACCTGACCCGCTTGTCTCCCTCTTAACCCAGACAGCACGAGGCACACACATTCTCCACGGGCCACAGCCACAGCCTCGGGGCTTCTGCATGGGGTTGAGGGGGTCCACCTGACTCTCACAGGGGACACTAGGGCAGGGTTCCAGGGGAGAGCCTAGCTAATAGGGTGTGTTTTCTGAAGCCACAGGCAGGACAGTCAGGGGTAGGACAACCTGGAAGAGGACCACACCTGGGGAAAGGGAGCTGCCAAGGAGCCTGGTTTTAAAGCCACTGAGGGGTGTGAATTTAGCCACTTAAAAGGACCCAAAGAAAGTGCTCTGGGCGGTCATCCCTGCACAGAGCTGCTTCCCCTGGGTTGAGGTCCTCCCAGAGTCCCGAGGCATTTTATCCACCCAGGCAGGGACTCTGGGTGGACCCCCTGGGGCAGCAGGAGGGGAGCAGTGGAGCAGAGGATTTGCCCCCCACATCCTCTCCAGAGCAGCCCAGGAGGAGCTCCAGGGAGTCTGTCTGGGACCTTTCCTGCAAACAGAAGCTGCCACCTTTTGTCTTAGTGCATGAGGAGGATGAAGCAGACAGGGTCATTTCCTGAGGTCTTCTCCGGGGTGGGGTGTGCTCTCAGGACTGCAAGGGACTTGCCTGGGGCTGCTCCATGGATGAGATCCCCTGCACACAAGGGGCCTGCTTGTCAAAGGCCAGCGCTTTGGGGGGGGGGGTAGGAAGCCTGGAGAAAAGAGGGGGCATGGGGTGAGTTTCCAGCATGTAAGAGGGAAGAGCTATGTCAGCCAATCCATCAATGCCGACCCGCCGCACCGCGTCAAGCTGACATGCAACTCTCCTGTCGCGCTCAGCTCGCCTGAGGCATTGCAGACGTTTCCCTGGCAGTGTGAGTTTACATGATACAGATTTGACACAACAAGAAAGATGAGTTGGGAAACATGCTTTGTATCTTCAGGCCTGCTACTGTGCGGAGTGGGGTTGTCTTTGGGAATCTGCACTCAGACACTGGAGGAGAGCAGCGGGTGCCTACACAGGGCGTCCGGAGGCTTTGGCTGCCTACCTGGCTACTCCAGTGCATTAAGTTCTTTTATTGATGTGTGCGACCTTTGCTTCAAGTTATTTCTTTATTTTCATGTGTTGTTATCTAATTTCAATTTTGTGGTTTAGGGATCATTGATTTCTGTCTGGTTTTATGTGTTCAGAAGTTTATCAGTGATTTTCAGGTTTGATTTGCTTAGCTTGGGACCACTAATCTGTATCTTGGCATAACATACAGGTACAGTTGTAAACACATCTTCACTTGTGTTTAATGAAATCCGTGTGGGAATGGTATGAGCAGATAATCTGCCTGGATGTCAATTCCTGCTCTATCACCTACCCACTGTTCTTTGTTCCTCCATTTTCTCTCCAGAAAACAGGAATAATAAGAAATTATACTGCTTTGGGTTGCTTTGAGCATAAAATGAAAGACTATCTATAATTGCTTAGAACACTGTTGAACACAGAGTAAGCACTCAACAGTAAGTATTTCAATTCTCAAATTAACCCTCAATGGAAAGACAACAACAAAAACCCAGATATACTCGTGAGTGTTTCCCATCTGCTAGCCACTTTGGTTTCACTGAAATGATTGTCTTTATGATGCGATTTTTGAAAACCCAAAGTTTCTAAGAACTAGCAGAACAGAACCATTTGTCCTGTGCCTGCTCAGATGTCTGTTCTTATGGTAGCTTCCCCTGTTCTCCCAGGCATCTACACGAGGAAGACTCTGTCCTGGCTGCTCTCACTCTCAGCACCTTCTCCGGCATTCATCCCACTGCCAGGGCCCTGCCCCGACCTTGCTGACGGCTGGAGTGTCAGAGTCTCCCCTTGATCTTCCTTGTCTCTTGGTTCAGCCTGTCTGCTAGCCCTATACCCCTCATAATCCGTTCTAAACTTTTATTCACTCATTCACTCATACACACATGCGTTCATTCAAACACTGCACTTTCACTGAGTGACTGCAATGTGACAGATACTCTTGCCGGCAGGGAATACGAAAACAAGCTGCAGGTGCTTATGGAAGTTGTATGCAAGGGGCAGAGGAAGGTAGTTTCAGAAGAGAAAAATACACTGAACAGAAGCACACACCAAGAAAGAGAGGGTGCCTGAGGGTAAGACTTATCCAGGGTGCAGTGTCAGGCAAGAGTCTCTGAGGAGCAGACAGCCTAACTGACCACCGAGTGATGGGGGGTGGGGGGAAAGGTCTGTCTGGTGGAGAAGGAGATAGCATTCCAGCCAGTGGAAACTGTAAGTGCAAAGGCCCTGAGGCAGGAACAAACCTGCCGGGTTCTGGGAACTCTGGAAGGCTTCTGTGGCCGCGGGAATAAGCAGGGCTACAGCCAACTTAATCTGCTTTGTCCCTGAATCCCTTCTCTTGCTTAGAGGATCACTGATAGCTCCATTGTCTGCCAAGCACTGCCCCAACCCCTTCTCCCATTCCTCCAGCCATTTGTCATCCAGCCCTAGACAGCCTCTCCATCTCCTGCTGGATAAACACAGTTATGTCCTGCTTTACAAAGAAGAGAGCAACCTATTGGGAGAACTGTCACCATGGCCTTTCACATTTCTGTTCGCCCAGTGCCAGGCATTTGATGAGGGAGAAGTTTTATGAAGATCCTATTAGGTGGCCAGAATTCACAGAGGTTGTGAAAGAAGCAAGATATGATGATGAGAGGGGAGATGACTTGCATGTATGAAGCAGTTAAAGGATGCGTACGGGACACGTTTTAACTGGAGTTTAGAGAGAGCATTGTGCCCAGGAGTAGTCAGAGGAAGCTTGGTGCAGGAAGCGGGCTTTTAAGTGGCCTTCAACAAATGAGCATCAGCCAAGGAGAGGAGAGTTTTCCAAGAGGGTAGAAGGTGTTTGCCAAAGCCTGGAGAGGGGAATGCCTGAGGCATGCATGAGGACTGGGGAGGCTGTGGGTCTGTGGGGGAGGGGCAAGAAACATAAGAAGAGTAGTGATGAGGAAGGACGATCTTTTTTTTTTTTTTTTTTTTTTTTTGACAGGCAGAGTTAGACACAGAGATAGAGTGAAAGGTCTTTCTTCCATTGGTTCACCCTCCAAATGGCTGCTACGGCCAGCGCGCTGCGCCGATCCAAAGCCAGGAGCCAGGAGCTTCCTCCAGGTCTCCCACATGGATGCAGGGGCCCAGGGACCTGGGCTATCCTCCACTGCTCTCCCGGGCCACAGCAGAGAGCTGGACTGGAAGAGGGGCAACCGGGACAGAATCTGGCGCCCCAACCGGGACTAGAACCCGGGGTGCTGGTGCCGCAGGCGAGGATTAGCCTAGTGAGCCACGACCCCAGCCAAGAAAGGATGGCACAGGGCATGGGAGCTGATGGCAGACGAGGGCTGAAAAAGACCACGGGAGGGCTTTGTCTGCTCAGGCCTGGCTTTCCTCTTTACCGAGGAGATACCTGCGCTGTCCTCAAGGTGTTCCCCTAAGTCCCACAGCACATGGGCACTGGGGGCCTTCCTTTCTCGTACCCAGAATCTGGAGCAAACCCACTGTGCACCTGCCGGGAGGCTCTCCAACCCTGTTTGGGTGAGGCCAGCTAAGGCCCAAGTCACCTCACCCAGCCTAAAGAAGCACAAAGCACTCCATTCCCACCCCTGGTGAGCTCACTGCTATACAGGCTGCCCTGAGGGCCAGGGCACGCACTTGCTGCCCATCCCAGGACTGGCCAGCAGCTGCTGGGACTGCCATTACCACGGCTGGGCCTGGGGTCCAGCCTGGGTTCGGAGAGGGAGCCCAAGTGCTCTCTGCGTCATCACCCAGCCCACCACCATCATACAGTTACTGCCTGGACGTTTCTTGGTCCAGCAGCTTTTATCCCTTGTTCTCTGGAAACTGTTGGCTCAAGATGGACCTGGAGCTAAGCCACTGTAGTGTTAGACGTGCAGGGCGGGCCAAGGGCATAGTCAGAAGCAGAGAAAAGTGGCTGCCAATAGTCTGACTCCTTCTTGGAACAGCAATAACTTAGACATCAACTGCAACGGAGGGAAAAGCGGGGAAGGGCTGCTAGGCTGCCAGGGAGGAGGAGGCAGGGGCACTGCTTGCTGTTGCTAGAAAGGGGTGGGAGTGGGGGCAAACGGCGGGTCCGAGCATTCCCAGGTTCTGCAGCAAGGTAGAGATCCGAGTCCTGGCCCTGTCCGCTTCTGGCAGTGTGGCTTTGTGCAGGTTGTGAAACCTCTCCAAGCCTTAAGTGACTTCCCTGTGAAGTGAGCTTCTTCACTCCCTCGCCTATTTAATCGTGCTGGGATGAGCTAATGAAAAAGTGGATTTGAAGCTGCTCTGCTTTGTGAACTGCGAGCTTCTTTGCAAACATCAGGCGCTATGGCCAACATTAGCGTCCTGCAGTTCTGATCCTAGCATAGCCAAGGCTGATGGACATCCTGGAGACTGTTTCCTGCTGTACTTATTAATAAATGAGTCAGGGGGGCCGCTGGTGCAGCTCCTGGCACTAGCCCTGGGGCACAGAGCGGGGTGATGTCAGAGAGGGCCTGGATGAAACAACCTTGATGATTAGTTTTGTTGTAAAGAATTGGGTTCAACAAAACGGAAAGGAGGAGGGGGCTTGCCAATTACAGATCAAGGGAAATTGCTGTGTATACAGAACAGCAGTGTCTCGCTGGAGGCTCACCAATATCCCCATCTTACAGCTGAGGAAACCGAACCTGCAGGTAGGAAGGAAGGATGGCTGAAATTCACATGGTAGTTTTGCGGCAAAGCCGGGATTCGATTCTTCATCTTCTGAGTCCAAGATTGGTGTTGAAAACAGACTCTAATTTTGAGACATCATAAAGACTTGAGAAATTACTATTGGGAAAAGGAGGACAAGAGCCAAGCTGTCTAGTGAAAATCCTTGTCATGAGCACATACGGAGGCAGCCGTTCTCTGTGACGGAGTGATCAGAAGAACGTGGCGGAGACTTAGCCAGCAAACGAGCCAGCGAAGGCAGAAGCTCTAAGCTCTTAGGTGCTGTTGGGAGTCAGAGCATGTCTGATGCACTCATGACGTGAGAGCACAGTGGCCCATGGGCAGCTGCTCCCCGCCCCCAACACACACACACTGACAACAGCATCGCCAACCCCTGCCGTTCCAGGGAGCACACTCCCTGGCTGGCTAGAGAGCCTGGGATGGCTGCTGGTAGCCAAGCCAGGCAGCCAGTGGAGTGTTCCGGGGTGGATTCAATGCATGCAACTTCGTGTCACCTCTTGTGGGAGCTGGGAGAGAGTGCGCCTCTCCCTCTGCTGAACACTCCAGATACCTTCAGGGACTTTGGTTGCCTGTGCTGAGGGGAGGGGACAGCAGCAGCAGAAGCACAGAGACATAAAGATGAATCCCTCTTCAAGTCCAAACTCCAGAAAAGATCACCTCCAAGGCCATGGTTTCAAAGGAAACAGCCTTGGGCTGGCTTCCCTTCAGGGCCCTGCCACATTTGCACAGGGCTGCTCCTGGGCTGAGCTGTGGACCCAGGAGGATGCGTTTATCTCTGATGCAGATCCCACATTGCCCCCCACGTCGCTCCCCATCTCTGTCCTCCAACCCCCATGCTCTGCCGGCTGTGGAAAGCCTTCCAGGAAACCAGAGCTCTGTATAGGTGTGCGCGCTCTCGGCGACGGACGAGGCAGCGCCACGTACGTGACTCACACCCCTGTCAGTGCTCGCTCTCCTTGGACCACTCTGGTGACAGTAGTGTGGGTTCTTGGAGAAAGAGCAAAAGCCGTCTCTTTTACTGTTGCTTTGTGGTTACACACACACACACACACACATTCATGCATGTTCAGTTGATTTTTGCTTCAACCCTGTGAGGCAGGATTACATGTTTTCTGTCCAGAGCCTTGTGGTACATGAACTTGAGAAAGTCACCACCTCTTAGCAGTGTCTGTTTCCACTTGGAAAATGAGATAGATGGCTACATGCTTTCTCTCCACCTTTGCATCCTCAGCACTTTGCCCACTGCTCCCTTGGAAAGGACAAATTGTCCCAGCTACTCTTGGGCATTCGCAGGCCCATGCAGCCCTAAACTCTGAGGTCATTTGAGAACAGTGCCAGGCTAAAAATCAATGAGAAGCGTCATTACTACATTTAATAGTAATTGTCATCACTTTTTGAGTGCGTTTAAAACTGCCAGGAATACTGCATACATTATCACTTGGAGTCTTCTCTTTAAGATTTATTTGAAAGGCAGAGTTAGAGAGGGAGATACACACACACACACACACACACAATCTTCTATCTGCTGATTCACTCCCCAAATGGCCACAATGACCAGGGCTGGGCCAGGCTGAAGCCAGGAGGCTGAAACTCCATCCGGGTCTCCCATGGGAGCTGCAGGAGCCCAGACCCTTGGGCCATCTTTTGCTGCTTTCCCAGGAGCGTTAGCAGGGAGCTGGACTGGAAGTGGAGCAGGTGGGACTCGAACTGTGGCCCATAGGGGATACCAGCACTGCAGGCAGAGCTTAATCTGCTCTGTTTATGTCTACAGTCTCTGCAGTCTTTAAAACAAACCAACAAAACCTCCTGCAGGTAAGGAAGCTGAGACTCAGAGCGAGATTAAATAAAACTTGCCCGAGGTTCACAACTAATTGGAGGTGGAGCTGGGGTTTGCAACAAGTCTGTGTTTTTGTGGAAGCCTATTTGGGTTTTCCCTCCACACATGTGTCAGAAATGGAGTTCGCATCCAGTGCCTGCTCTTCCTGGCGGCTGGCCATTGTCACTCCTTGTGTGTTCTTGTCGCAGGTACCTGGCCATTGTCCACCCGCTGAGGCCGCGGATGAAGTGCCAGACAGCCACTGGCCTGATCGCCTTGGTGTGGGCCGTGTCCGTCCTCATCGCCATCCCCTCCGCCTACTTCACCACCGAAACCGCGCTCCTCACAGTCGAGAGCCGGGAGAAGATCTTCTGCGGCCAGATCTGGCCGGTGGACCAGCAGCTCTACTACAAGGCCTACTTCCTCTTCCTTTTCGGCCTGGAGTTCGTGGGCCCCGTGCTCACCATGACCCTGTGCTACGCCAGGGTCTCCCGGGAGCTCTGGTTCAAGGCCGTGCCTGGCTTCCAGACGGAGCAGATCCGCAAGCGGCTGCGCTGCCGCCGGAAGACGGTGCTGGTGCTCATGGGCATCCTCACGGCCTACGTGCTGTGCTGGGCGCCCTTCTACGGCTTCACCCTCGTGCGCGACTTCTTCCCCGCGGTGTTCGTGCGGGAGAAGCACTACCTCACCGCCTTCTACATGGTCGAGTGCATCGCCATGAGCAACAGCATGATCAACACCCTGTGCTTCGTGAGCGTCAAGAACAGCACCATCAGATACTGCAAGAAGATGCTGCTGCCCCGCTGGAGGGCTTCCTACAGCGGCAACAAGTCGAGCGCCGACCTCGATCTCAAGACTACGGGGATACTTGCCACCGAAGAGGTGGACTGCGTCAGGCTGAAATGACCCCCTGGCCCTCGCAGAGATGTGTGGGACACTGGCCAGGACGCCTGGATACACAGCCTCAACAAGGAACCCTTGGTTTGCTGTGGAGGCCAGAGTAAATGGGCAGCTCTGTGACCATGGTGTGCAAGGAGAGCTGGATCTCCCTCCTTGGACCCCAGGCTCATTCATGGCTGCCATTCACTGAATGTCTAATATGTAGAAAGGGTGGACTCTGGTTTAACCTGTATGTGCTGTTGACATTTAGTTGGCAAAATAAAATAGAGATTAAACCAGGGACAATGTATTGGTGGTGTAGGTGGTCTGGAATAGAAGGGAACCAGAGTAGATGTCTGGGACTTCAGGACACGTGTTTGTGCCGCGAAGCTTTCTCTGCACTGTCCCAGCTGCTTGTCAGACACCGGTCAATCCTCTTCTGGGAATGCTCTTTAGCTTGACTTCACTCCTGACATCAGCAAGGCTGGATCAACAACACAAGAGACATCAGGCTCTTTCTGCAGCCCATCTCTTCTCGCCTCTGATTCTGACCTTCACTGTGACGAGCCTTGCATGCGTGCACATGCATACCTTAGTATTCATGGCCAAGTTCTATGCAAACTCTGTCCCCACTCACTGCCCCCCTCAAACCTAGGAGTTTGCACACACATGGGGAGGCTCATAACCATGAGGATGGACTTGGGGAAGGAGCCATGCAGACCCTGGACAGCACTGACAACGAAATGACGGGTTCGGGGTACCTGGAGTAAGTCTAGAGAGGGAAAACCAGGTTTCAGGGTGGGCATGTCCTCACGGCTCCTTGGGCTTCCTGCTGCAGGAGAGTTGAGGCACAGGTACAGGAGAGTGGAAATCGGACCTCTAACAGCATGCGGGGCTCAGGCACTCCAGGTGGAGGATGATACGCTTTCCCCATGTAGGTGCCCTGGCTTGGACCAGGTAGTCTTCCCTTAAATCCTTCCCTTCCTTGTCATGTCTCCAGGCTTGGGAAGCAAGGCGTAATAGACACACACCTCGTGGATGTGGCCATAAGTTAATTGTCCACCGTCTCTCAAACATGAGCAAGGCATGAAGTGTTCCCTCCTAACCAGCTGGCCTGGTAAGGGACCCTCACTGGTGTTCTGGGAGAGCGAGAAGCCTTGGTGACTGGTGCCTGAAGCCTGGTCGCGATTCCTCTTTTAAAATGGAGGGACAAACCAGCACATTTCTGCTGCTCAGTGTCAGGGAGCCCATGTGACCCAGTGGCAGGAGATGCACCTGGGAAAGAGGGTGACATAGAGCCGGAAGGGGTGGCCCCGGAAGTGAGCTGTGGTGACTCCAGGAGCTGTGGTGATCCCACGGGCTTACCAAAAGCTTGTCCCGTTCTTGAACCTGTCTCCTTTGTTTTGTGTTTGGAATTTTGGAACAAGAAGATCTGATACCCAGCCTTGGCTCTGTTATCTGTGTGGTGGGGAAAAGCTCCAACCACACAGAAGAATGGACTAATACCTGTGTGTGTGTGTGTGTGTGTGTGTGTGTGTGTGGTGTGCCTGCTACTTGGGTTCCTGTGTCTGGAGATCTCGCCATCTTCTCCTTGCTTTCTACCTTGTGTCTATTAGTCCTCTCCATTTCTCAGCAGTGCTATGTGCATCACGTTCCTCAAAAACAAGGCAGAAACATGAAGGAAACGGTGGCTGCATCTCCAGATAGAAGGCAAGCGTACAGTGAGATCTTAATGTTGCGATCATGGACGTAGTGACCGTCTTCCCATGTGTGTTCCTGGTCAGCATGAGTCTGGGTCACGTGCCAGTTGTTTCTTGGTTTGCTGTTATGAGTGTGCAGAACTATGAAGTGAATTGTCCTTTTCTTCCCATTTAATCTGAGAGCAGTGCAATTGCAAGGCTAAATGATACGTGTGTGTCATTCCTTCCTTCAAATATAGACAACTCTCTGTTTCTGGCAGCAAAAGGTATCTTTTATAGTTATGTTATTTCCTTGGAAGATACAACTCAAAGACCTCTTTGTTTCTTCCCAACTTGTTACCCAACAGACTTACCCTACAGTTTAATCAGAATGCTCACTGAGAACAAAAATGAATTAAAATATTAGCTTAGGGCCCAGTTGCAGTGCAGTGGGTTAAGCTGCTGCCTGCAACACCAGCATACTAAACGAGAGCCGGTTCAAATCCTGGCTGCTCCACTTCCAATCCAGCTCCCTGCTAATGTGCCTGGGAAAGCAGCAGAGGATGGCCCAAGTGTTTGGGCTCCTGCAACCCAAGTGGGAGTTCCAGCCTCCTGGCTTCAGCCTGGCCCAGCCCTGGGCATTTCATCCATTTGGGGAATGAACCAGTGAATGGAAGATCTATCTCTCTGTATCTCTTTGTGCCTCCTTAACTCTGCCTTTCAAATAAATAAATAAAATCTTGAAAAGATTAGCCTAAATGAAAAATACATTAGAAAGTAATTCTTATCCTTTTATAAAGTCATATATTGGATTATAAACCAGGAAAGTTAATTTTGGCTTAAAAGTAATGAAATTATACAATTCCTTGTCATTGTGTTCTACATTTCCATTAGAAATGCTAAATGAGAGTTGACTGTATTGAACAGGAGTTTTTGATGAGACAACCAACTCCCTTCTGCTTTTCAGCTTAAAATGTATCAATTTTCAGTCATTTAATGATTTGTAAAGTATCTGAATATTAGTGTCTGCTTGTGATTTTATAGTGAGTAAAGTGTTGTGTTGTTAATGAGTGAAATAAATAAATAAGAAATCATTGACTGTAGTGTTCCTATAATTGCCTTCCTTCTCACCCACCCTTTTCCTAGCTAGAGTGTTACAGCTTTTTGAGAGAACACTGTGTAGATTCCATGACCCTGTGAATTGGGAGAACAGGCTAACTCATGCTCTTGTTACCTACAGATTTCCCCGCTCTGTGCTGAAGAGATCGAACTGATTTGTATGCCCTCTTCCTCTAAGTCTGCTCTGGTAAAATTATGAATACTTTTTTAGCATATGTGTGCCAAGACTTGAAATCTGAGGATCCATCCAAGCCCCTTACGGAAGCAAAGGCAAAACCTTTGAACATCCTGACGTGTGAAACAAGGTCCATGCTTCTTAAGGAAAAGACTTCTGAGATGACCAGAAAATTATAAATAGGAGCCCTGGTTCTTGAAAAATAGGATACATTTTGGAATGTAGTCGCAAAGAATGAGTCCAGTTCTAATCCCTAGCATGCGAGAATAGCCAATTCAAGACATGCATTTTATAGTTGAAGAAGCTGAAGCCCAGGCTGAGAAAGCGATACATTCAAGGCCACACAGCTGGTCCTTGTGAGAGCCAAGGTTAGATCCCAGTTCCTGGAGATTAGCCCAGGGTTCTTCTGTTGCAGCATTCCTGAGTGCAGGGAGCTCCTTCCCAAGAATCGTTGAGGGACTGTTCAACTTCAGGCTGGCCTTCTCTGGAAACCCTTGAGGAGTTCAGCAGGGACATTCCTGGTTCCTTTGCAAGCCAGGGTGAGCTCATTCTTCCCCCAGGATCCCCCAGCACAGACACAGGCTGGGAGGTTGTGGGAGAGACCTACCGAAGCGGGTCTACAGCTGTTGTCTCTTTACCTCGCCTAGCTGGGGCTCTCTGGGAAAATAAACCAAAAAGACACCAGGGCCCTGCCGACGACCCTGTGCTAGGAAAGCAAAGAGAGAGGAGGCACACTTGGCCGAACGTGCAGACCAGGGCAGGCCCTGTGGGCTCAGAGTCCAGAAGCGCTGGAAGACTCCCCTTGCTCCTCCAGGGAGGACAATAGAGGCGCGTGCGGCTGTTTGGATGAGGTGGGACTTGCACTGAACCAATAGGGTACAGAGAAGCAAAAGGGCGAGTGTTTCGTGGGAGCAAAGACTTTTCACATGACGGCAGGATTCTCCTCCCTGGGAGAGGTAACCAAACGCAGGAAAACACACACGTAAGTACGGGATGCCAGAGGCTTATCTGAGCGGGGTCTGACAAGGACAGAGAGAGAGAAACTGACTTATGGAAAGGACTGAATGATGGGTGATGGCGACACCTCAGGAAAGAGGAAGAGGCGGAGTGGAGGCTGAGAACCAGTTTGGCTGATTCAGTCCCGGCAGGGAGGGGCCCCAGCCGTGCGTCAGGCCGAGCTAAGCGTGTTATGGGAATGGCCTCTCAGTCTTCACACCTCGAACTCAGGAGCTAGCATCACTCCCATTTCACAGATGAGGAAATCGAGTCTCAACTCCGAGAGGCTGCTCCAGGTCACACACGTTGTGAGATCTGAGGCCCGGCACTCGCATTCCGGAGCTCATGCCTCAAGTGGCTCTATGCCACAGCCTTTCAAAACTTTCCTAGGCCTTCCTTGGACTTCCCAGCAAACCAAATGCGTGCCTCTCTCTTTAAGTCCAATCATCAAGTGGTAAATCATCTCCTAAATTAAGCAGATTCTCTAAAATGGAAAATAGTACAACTCCCGTCTGTGTTTTTCCTTCCCTGGAGAACTTTGTTCACCTTGAACGCTGACCTAAGGCAGAGGTCACTGAAGCTTTGTGACCCTAGAGTGACCTGTGTAGCCTCTTTCCAAAATAATGGTTTCTGCTTTCCCCAGTAAGATGCATCGGAACAGGAAAGAAAGTCACTATATTGAAATGCAGTACCAAAATGGTTTCCAAGTGTGGGTTACAGTTAGATAAATCACTTGTAGTACATATCTTAGCATTAAATGTTTTCCTAGTGCCTTTAAAAATGTAATTTATCATCAGGACCAATAGTTACACCCATCTGAAGTAGTGATGAACGTGACTGAGGTTTTTTTTTTTTTTTTTTTTTTTGACAGGCAGAGTGGACAGTGAGAGAGAGAGACAGAGAGAAAGGTCTTCCTTTGCCGTTGGTTCACCCTCCAATGGCCGCCGTGGCCGGCGCGCTGCGGCCAGCGCACCGCGCTGATGCGATGGCAGGAGCCAGGAGCCAGGTGCTTTTCCTGGTCTCCCATGGGGTGCAGGGCCCAAGCACCTGGGCCATCCTCCACTGCACTCCCTGGCCACAGCAGAGAGCTGGCCTGGAAGAGGGGCAACCGGGACAGAATCCGGCGCCCCAACCGGGACTAGAACCCGGTGTGCCGGCGCCGCTAGGCGGAGGATTAGCCTACTGAGCCACGGCGCCGGCCGTGACTGAGGTTTTGAACTCTCTCCCCAAGCTGTGATGTGATGTGAAATACTGCCTCTCCCGGAGGCAGTCTCCAGGACTGCTAACATTGGTTGGTTTGGTGCCTACCTCATAATGGCAGGAAAGGTACAAGTTCAGTTGCTGGTTATAGAGAATCCACAATGATTTTGTTGATTTGAAAGGAAGAGAGAGAGAGAGAGAGAAAGTGAGCCCATCCACTAGTTCACTCCCCAAATGTACACAATGACTGGGGTTGGATAAGCCTGAAGCCAGAAGCCCAGAACTCAGTCCAGGTTTCACATATGAGTGGCAAAAACCCAATTACTTGAGCCATTAGCACCTGCTGCCTCCCAGAGGGGCACACTAGCAGGGACCTAGAAGTGGGAGCACAGCCAAGACTAGGCATTCTAACAAGCAGCTAAACCACTAGGCCCACTGCTCCCTCCATGATGACTTTTCCCCTAACCTAAGTTCTGAAACTCCTGAACTGGTTAAGAATGCCTGCCCCAGAAAGAGGCCAAAACAAGCTAACGGGAGTGGGCATTGGTAGGGATGGACATGGCTAAAAGGTGGAAGCGCACACATTTAAACAGAATTCTGCGGGTCGATCTTCACCAAACATTTGTCTCCTGAACATACCTCAGTGTCCATTGTGGGTCACTGACTTTCTGTCCCCTGCCTCCTTGGTGCCCCGATTCTGACCTGTATGGCTGAGATTCATCAGCGCAGCCAGGGAGGGCTCCCTGACTAAGCAGGATTCCAGGACTCTCTCACACAATTGACTGACAAACATTTCTTTTTTTAAAAAAACATTTTATTTATTTGAGAGGTAGAGTTACAGATAGTGAGAGGGAGAGACAGAGGGAAAGGTCTTCCATCCAATGGTTCACTCCCCAAATGTCTGCAATGGCTGGAGCTGCGCTGATCTGAAGCCAGGAGCCAGGAGCTTCTTCCGGGTCTCCCACACAGGTACAGGGGCCCAAGGACTTGGACCATCTTCTACTGCTATCCAGGCCACAGCAGAGAGCTGGATCAGAAGTGGAGCAGCTGGGACTAGAACCAGTGCCTATAAAGGATGCTGGTGCCGCAGGTGGAGGATTAACCTACTGCGCCACAGTACCGGCCCCCAAACATTTCTTGTCTTGGACTCTGGTGCTACAAAGATGAGTAAGACACAGCTCCAGCTCATGTCCCTTCCTGCAAATCCGAAGGAGAGCAGGAATTTTGGTTGCTAGGAAGCAAGAGGAAGCATCCTATAAGAAGCAGCTCTGCAGATTTGCATAGCGTATCAGTTACTTGACCGTCTTCATGACTTATTTTATCTCTGCTTTTCTCATCTTAATTTTGATGGCCATTGCTTCTTGGCCTTTTGGCTAAGATCAAGCGTAATTTTGGTGGCCTATTCAGCCCTTGAATGGAACGTATATGCACGTTAAATTCTTTCTTGGATCTTAAGCGCTTAAGGAAGTGAGTTTTCCTTTGAGTAGAGTTTTACTTTCTCTTGAATGTGTAAGAATTTCTTTAGCTCTGAAATATTCCTGCTGGTTTGCATTATGTTTGATACACGCTTTCCACATTCTTATTATATATTTAAGGCAAAGAATTTGCTACAGTTATTTCCTGAGACATGTTTTTTTTTCTTCCAGAGTAGCTAGTAGACTGTTTTTCTTTTGCAGATTTTATTCCTTTGTTTTTCCTCTTCTCTCTCCCTCATCCTTTCCTTTCCTTTCCTTTCCTTTCCTTTCCTTTCCTTTCCTTTCCTTTCCTTTCCTTTTCTTTGTAATTGTCCATAACTTTTCTATCGCCTGTTTTTATTTAATTCATTTTGGACAGAACGAACTCTATGACCAAATGTTTCACCCAAATCCAAGATGGGTAAGCCCTGTTTATTCTACACCTGTTTGTTCCCTTCCTTCATTCATGACTCTGACCAGATGGTTTGTGCCCCATGCCCTGCTTTTTGGAGATGGGAATGAGAGCACTAACTGTACCCATGATTGACAGGCTGGGTCTCTTTTTTTCCCTTGCTATTTTATTAAAAGTTTTATCCTGGGATTCGGTCTTGCTAGACAATTGTATGAGTATAATTTAAAAGGTTCACAGAAAATGTAGTTAGGAGAATTGATCTTGGGTGCGGGCATTTGTCTGGGGTTAAGATGCCTACAGCCCACATTGGAGTGCCTGCATTCAGTTCTCTTATTTTCTCTTCCTAACCGTGCACAACCTAGGAGGCAGGAGGTGATTGCTCAAGTGGTTGGGTCCCTTCCAGGGTTGGATCCCAAAACTCCCAGGTTTGGCTCCAACCCAGTTTCAGCCATTGTGGACATTTGGGTGTGAACTAGTGGATAGGAATTCTCTCTCTGCTTATCAAATAAAAGAGAAAAAGTTTATTTTGGTAAAAGAGATATTTTGAGTCCATATGAGAATATATTCAAAAATATCATGAAATTGCATATTATGAAAAACTATACATGGATTTCAGTGTTTTGAACCAAAATAAATTTGTTTTTTTAATTCCATTTTTCCAGGGAGTATAGAGATACAGTCAAATATCTTGTCATTGGGGCTGGTGCCCTGAGTTTTGGATATTTCCTCAATTTAAAGAG